AAGAAAAAATTAATAATTAGCTTTTCTTCTAAATTCTATAACTTTGCAAAGAAAGGTCATGTAGAGCTCAGAGATGTGTTATTTTAATCAGAAATTTGCACTCTAAAATCATGTCTTGTTAAGAAAGATTTTGGTTATTTTTTAGAGTTTCTGAAAAACTGGTTTTCCAGAAGGCTGGATCTTCGAAGATCTATGGGAAGCCTCCATGGTCATATTCGGCATCAGCATGCTCGATAACCTATAACTCCTATAATATTTTGGTTCAAGACCTTCAGGTTTAACTAGAGGCAAGAAAGGGTTAAGATATGTTTAACTCAAGGTAAGAAATTCTATCAGAACGGAGTAACGGAGCATCCTTTACTTCACAGGTTTGAGAACATTCAGCTCGAGATTTTTTCAAACCTGTAAAAAGAAGATAAGTGAAAAAAGAAGAGTAGAAGTAAATATATAAGAACAGCAAACTGAAAGAGGTAAAAGCCATGACATCATTCTGCCTGTTCATTTATATAAAGATTGCTAGTGCAGAGAATTAAATGTAAAAGAAGCCTCTCAGTCACCTACATTCATTCATAGAAAAGAAAGACGGAGACACATATGCATACATTGGTCTATTTCTTTTATCCCACTGACACACATGGATCAACGTATTTATTACTAAACTTGTGTCTCTTCCTTCTATTATACACACATATCACTACCTCACTCAATCTTTGTTTTGTATAAATATTTCTTTAATGTAGACTCGTTTTTTTTCTTAACGGTTTTTTTTTCTTTGATTTATCTGCTCTTTTTGTTTACTTCTTGTGAGCATACAATGGGGCTTGCCTCGACTTACTCATTTCTTATTGCTATGTTTATTTCTTAAGAATTTTCAAAAATAAGAAAAATAGAAGAAAATAAGAAAATAAAGAACTGATTCGGGAGGAAAAACACATAACTAAGTAGATGAATTTAAACGTCGAGTCATACGCACATACACGGTGGGAAAAAGCGCAAAAGAATAAAGACATGAAAATGGGTTATTTTACGGTTTTTATTAGGTTCATGCATTATGTTTTACAGTTTGTTCTAAAAACTAACATTACTATTGAGACTCAGCATGATCAATAATCTAGATTTTCACTCAACTCTAGTGTTCGGACATATGATCGGCTACTATTTTTGTGGCACTCCGACATCACGCTCACATCACAAAAAATGAAGAGATCGGAAGATTAGTAGGCCACTTGAATCTATCCATCCCTGTGAAAAAAAACCTAATGTGAGCCTTTCTTAATTGTTGTACATTACAAGTGTTTAGCTGGAGAACTCTTTGATAAAGTTGTTCACATGTTTTTCGCTCATCGAAAGATGTGTCAAAGTTTTGGCTTTCGAATGATGGAACGCGCTAGCTATCATCAATTGAAGTTGGTCAAAAGATGACTACGCTTATTGTTTTTTAAAAAGACAGTGCCATCTGTCACATTAAAACACGATCATATTCGCGAATCTGTAATGCACAAGGTCGTTAGTGAATTTTTAACATTTGTTTTATTGATAGATTGAAATATCAAGATAGAATTCATTGTTTTTTCAATACACAACTGTTGTGGCACGATTATTTCTCGAACATTTTCCGCGAACGACTCTTCCGCAAATGTCTCTTGCGTAAACTTTTCTTAATACAAATTTAGGTATTTCTGGTAGTGGGGGCGATGAGTTTACAAAAATTGCGGAAGAGTCGGTGAATCCACAACTGTAGATACTTAATGTCTCAGAAACTAAACTAATATTTCTTTCATCATATTTAATCTTTTATTCAATCCCATCATAATGGACTGTTTGAGGAAGCATTATGATTAAAGCGAAACATGGTGCGAGTTTTGTTATTCAGTAGTCACGTTGTTCTTCCTCTCACAAGTTGTATATTTCCAGTCGAATAAGTACTACATCTATAAAATATATAACTATTATGATGTATTTAAGTACATTTTTTATCCCTGTGAAAAATCCAATGTAAATATACGTGTAAAAATTTGCGTTAGCCGCGACCGAAAGAATACATTCATGACAAACACAGAACGCGTGTTATTTGATTTTGTAATCAGAATGGAAAAAAAAACTGGGTTTTTTCCTGTTCTCTCTGTCATTATTATTCTTATGTTACAAGATAAAATGAAAAAAAGAAGGAAGAATTCTATTTCATTACGTAAAGAGCAATACGGTATATGATAACATTACACATTTTTTTTTCCACAAGTGAAAAAAACCCTTGTTAATCGATTATAACATTGATATTTCTGAACCAGTGTCTCAACTATCGATCAAGTGTTTCGTATATTAGAGTCGAACAGAAAATTTTTATTATTATTGTTAGCAAGAGAAATTTTACTTATTAAGTTTTCAAATTATAATCTTAAAAATATGAAACAAAAGCACGATGTTATTAGTGATAACAATGATAGTTTAGAACAATGTACGTACAAACCATGTGAAGTCGATGTAAAGGTAACGAGCGTTCTACTAATTGTATTGGCTACATTCATATGATTTTATTAAACATTTTCTATCCATTTAAGACACATGTTCGTCGACGAGCAAAATCTCTATCATGTGTTAATTTTTCAAAAGTATGTAAAAAAACTTATCCATCAGATAAACATAAAAGAAAACTGTATACAGATCCATTTAAATATTACAATAGAGATAGTGATAGTAATGGTGTAGAAATGTCTAATGATATATTTTTGACTTCACCATCGAGTTTGTGTACGACAGAATTTCCATCAATACTACCATCTGAAAAATCCATAGATGATTTGTATACACAAATTAAACAGATCTATGAAACATTGACGATTCTGACAGGTGGAGTAAAAATACTTAGAGATGATTTAATAAGATTGTCTAATGGATTTTCACAAGTTGAATCTAATATAAATACACACTATCAAGAACAAATGATACTACAACAGTCAGTAGAAGAACAATATGCATTTTTAAGTGGTACAGAAATGAATCAACAAATATTAGATCAAGAGTTAACGAATCTAAAACAAGATTTTGAAAATTCAAAATATATCTCGTATGATGGAACATTTGTATGGAAAATAAAAAATGTGACTGAGTTAATGAATCAAGCACAATGTGAAAGTCAGCCAAGTATCTATTCACCACCATTTTATTCGTCATCATGTGGTTATAAAATGTGTATGAGATTATATTTGAATGGTGATGGAAATGCAAAACGAACGCATATTTCACTATTTTTTGTTTTGTTGCGTGGAGAATATGATGCAATGCTTAAATGGCCATTTCATTTTAAAGTTACCTTTTGTTTAATCGATCAATCAGGACAACAACGACATATTATCGATTCATTTCGTCCAGATATCAAATCAAATTCATTTCAAATACCTAAATCGTTGATGAATATTGCATCCGGAATACCAAAATTTTTTCCTCTACCGATGTTACAACAAGCGGGAAATAATTATGTAAAAGATGATACCATGTTTCTTAGATGTATTGTAGACTTTAATGACATGCCAAAAATGATTCTTCCATTTTCATTAAGTCTCAATCCTGGTCTACCTGATCATATTCAAAAATCGATGATTAAAGAAGAAATTGAAAGGCAGCAACAGTCATCAACATTACCACCACAAATTACAAAAGTTTCTGAATAGAATTCTAAACCAGAGAGAAAAGATCAATATGGTATTATTTGTTCTTAGTTGGTGATCGGGAGAATAATGTAAACAAGTTGAAAATCTATTGAAAGTGCTTATTGAAAATGAATACAACTAGATGGAGTAGAATACTGTCGCAAATATCGTTATTTATTATATAAATGAAGTCTGACCTTTATCGAAGGTCATCACCATCAAACATATGAGTCTATATACAATTTTTCTTTTTTTTCTACTACCTTTTTTCTTTTCGTTCCTTCTCACATACCTATCTACAGTATCGATTCGTTTTTTTTACCAACTAGTCTTTAGTTAATTGTTATAGAGTGTTTCAAATACATGCTGTTCAGCCTGCCATTGTGCCAGTTCTTTATTTTCTTATTT